CACCTCTCGCTTGTACCCCAGTTTTATGTATGCATAAATAAACATTTAAAAATAAAAATAAAAAACACTGTAGGTGCTAAATGTTACTAAGTGTACATATTAAAATGGCTAATTTTAAGTAAATAAGATAACCTCAGTAAAGAAATAAAAAGAAAATAGGAAACAAATATGAGGGAAGAAGCCAAAAGTTGGTGCAAAGAGGAACGGAACTCTGCTCTAAATTACTTTGAAGCTTTCCTCTAAATAATCTCAACTAGAATTTGTAATACAGTTGCTTGGTAAAAAAGCATAAAGTATACAGACAATGGTTTGTTGTTGTTTTTTAATAAAATCATTATGTATCTAAAGACTGAGCGCTAATGTTTATAATAAAATGGGAATTTTCCCACATCTAAAGTCTTTCTAATAAAAAATGAAGGAAGTGACTTCCTAGTGATTCAGAGTAGAAGAAAATATTGTTATATGCATTCCTTTTTAATTTTTAACATTTCCCAAATTGGGACATTTCCTGCATGGGACACTTTTTAGAGATGTTATTTGGTATACTAAAAGAGAAAAAAGGGGGAGATATGGAGAGGAGTAAAAGGATAAAAGGAAAGTAACATATAGGAATTAAATCTTGGGGCAGTTACAATGCACACTGTAGCACATTAAAGGTTCTGCAGTAAGAAAGTTCACCTCTATTTAAACCTTCATTTTTCTGATTTATTAGGGGAATTTTCAAGCCACATCTATTAAATACATGATGCATCAATTCTGTAACAACACTGTGCAGCAACAACAAAATGTCTTTTCCTACATAAGGGGGAAGTCATAGGAAACATGTGAAACTACGGAAGGGTAATTTTAAGTACTCCCTAAACATCCCAAAAGACAGCAAATACCACTAGAAAGTTGTTCACATAGAACATATAAAAATATTTTTTCATATCTTCTTTCAATCAAAAAGCAGAAACTACCAATTATTACTATTGTCTCTAATATAATATAGTGTGAGTCAAGCAAGGAAATTAATCATTTATATACTTAAGACAAGTATTCCCTTGTATTGGTTGATTCTAATAAAAAAATACTTAGGAATTATTTATTTTCTTGCTAGTTCAGAGGAAAGACTACATCTTCCTCCACAAATCAATTGTTAAATCCTTTCTAGGATTAAGGTAAGTGGGAAGAGCAACAGAAGCCATCAAAGCTATACTGGTCATGTACATACCCTTAAGGAAGGGAAGGAGAGAAACAGGCAGGGAAAGGGAAGGAAAAACAGCGCAGCATAGCTATTACATTCAGTTGATAAGTCTTCATTTTATATGCTATTATCTTTACTATTACCACAACCAGTTGACTAAAGCAACCACTGGCTAAGTAACAATACATAAACATTTATTTTGTAAAAGCAAACTTGAAACTCTTCAAGCTAGATAAAATAAACTAGCTACACTGAAACATTGGTTACTGATTACAAACATAATGTATGAATCAGTCAGAGGCATAAAAGCAGGGGTTATAAAGTCTAAACATGACAGATCAAGACACTTCTCAACACAGTACTTTCTCCATGAAATTATAATATTATGTTTTCATAAACAAATGTATAGAGCCAGAAACTAGACTTTAGCGATTAACCTAAAAATGATCATCCTACCTACCTCAATGACTAATTCACAAAAGAAACTACTTCACATTTAAAAGTGACAACTAACAAATAACACAATAGGTTAATTTACCACAAGGGTACTTTTACAGCCAGAGAGATAAATTATACTCTATACCGAGCACTATCACTCTTTCTTCATATATTAATCCAACTTGATTAGATGGGATTAGATGATAGGTGTTTGAATGCAGAATTATAGTAACACAAAGGAAATCACCTTGTAGAATATTCCATTTAGGTCATAAAGAGATCTGTAAACATTTTGCATCACAGCTGAGAATACACGTCTTATGACTGACTGTCCTACTGATTACCCAGATTCTCAACTCTCTTGATTCAAAGCATAATTCTGTCATTCTTTTATCTAACACCCCACTGAATTTTCTACAAATGCACTTTATCAATGACTAAGCTATAGCAAACTGTTGCTTTGCATGAGATCTGCAGAGGAAGTACCATTCCACACTACCCTGCCTAAACTGTGAAATGTAAATTCGTTTTTCATTGAGAAGGTCTTAAATAATACCTCTGACAGTCTCAAGTGCCACCTATAATTGTGGTAGAGTAAGTACAAAGAAGCAGTTTTAGATGTGTTTGTAGATACTGAAATTTAATTATCAATATAATATAAACACTATACAAAACCAACTACACACAATTCAACAGCTGACCCTTCATATTCACAAGCTTCTGCATCCACTACTTTAACCAATCACAAATGGATATATTATATGTAATTAAGTCTGCAATGATTGCAGCTGTACTGGAGAAGTAGCGCACTGTTTTTCCCATCATTATTACCAAACAATTTAATAACTATTTACATTATATAGGTGTAAGTACTGTAGAGATTTTTAAAGTATATGGGAGGATATGTGTGTACGTTACATGCAAATACATACCATTTTATTACATAAAGGACTGGTTGAACACCTACAGATTTTGGTATCCACGGAATGGGGAACTAATTAATACCCTCCAAATATTAAGGGACAAATGTACTGGAAAAATGGTTCAAAGCAGTGCCCTCCCCAATAGCACAATGGGTTAAAGCCTCAGCACTATGAAGCTATCCACAGACACGGCAATTCAATTAACTGGCCACAGAGGTGACACACATGGAGGTGACACACAAGGCATGGGGGACCAACCTCTCCTGGCCCACCGTTGCTCCCTTCAGGAGTGTATTTCAGTACATCTGCTGGTTCTGCTCCCCATTCTGTCTCTGATGGATCCTCCCACCCCCCTGTACTTCTGGGTCTATAACCCAGTTCAATGTGCATAAATACATAAATCTTAAAAAAAAAAAAGAACTAATGATTTTTTTAAAGGCTCAAAGCAAACTGCTAAAAACTAACCACTTAGGAAAGTTGATATCCTAATACAATATTATAAAATGATTCTACATCTGCATAATGCTTTAAAAAGTGCTTATTCCACCTGTTGTAACATTTAATGCTGGCCAAATATTTAAATTGAAAGTCTCCAAGAAAAATATTTATGAGGGCCCTCCCTGGTGGCGCAGCGGGTTAAACCACAGCACTAAGAAGCTTAAGCCATTTCCGCATGAGTTCGATCCCCGCCTGCCCCGGAGGTGACCACATGGTGCGGCAGACCTCTCCTGACCCGCCCGCTGCTCCCCTCAGCAGTGTACTTCGTTGATCTGCCTGTTCTGTTCCCCACTCTGTCTCTGGTGAAGCCTCTCACCACCCATGAGCCTCTGGCCTGTACCCCAGTTCTGTATGCATAAATAAATAAATCTTTAAAAAAAAATTTATGAAAGAAGGCAAAGAGAATACTTCAGATTTTACTGTTACAAGAATACTTTATATTTTACTTTTAAAAATAATGAAATGAAAAAAAAATAATGATGAAATGTTCTGACAATTTTCAGTTAGTATAGTCATATACATTCTTTTGAAATCAAAAAATATATTAATAATTTTACACAGTAGACAAACTCTTAAAATATATCATGTACTCTCTGTCATAAACATTTTATTCAAATGAATCTTGATGTGCAAAATTATATGCAAATTATAAAATAAACAAAATGAGGGCCACCCTGGTGGCACAAAAAGTTAAAGTGCAGCACTACACTATCAAGCTAGAGGCAGCCAGGGAGGTGACATGGTGCAGCAGACCTCTCCTGTCTCAACCACAGCTCCCCTCAGCAGTGTATTTCAGTCAGTTTACCTGTTCTGCTCCCCACTCTGACTCTATTGAATCCTCTCACCCTTTCCCCACCCCTCTGACCTATACCTCAGTTTTTATATGCATAACTCCTTTTTTAATAAAAGAAAAATAGACAAATGACTAGGTCCTTGTACCAAATATGTCTTCGGATGCTCAGTACATTTATGCCCCAATACAAACTGCTTTATATAAAAATACATGGTATAAAATTAAGTCATCTATGCCTTAGGATGAATAAAGGTAAGTGAACAAATCATTAAAAGACTTTAAACTTAAACCCCAATTGTGAAGTAAAAGATTAAAAAAATCATATTGTAGGGCCTCCCTGGCGGCACAGGGGTTAATATGTCTCAGCGCTATCAATCTATAGTCAGCCACTGCAGCACATGTTCGATCCCTGGCCAGGGAGCTATCCCACATGGCACAGACCTCCCCTGTTTCACCCACTGCTACCTTCAGCAGTGTTTTTCAAAAAGATCTGCCTGCTCTGCTCCCCACTCTGTCTGCTGAGCCCTCTCAAATCCCCACTCCTCCTCTGGCTTACATTCCAGTTCTCGTATGCATAAATAAATTTTTTTTTAATTTTAATATAGGGCCTTCCTTGGTGGTTCAACAGGTTAAAGTGCAGCACTATGAAGTTACGTGCAGCCAATGCAGCACAGACTCCAATGAGGCCAGGAAGGTGACCCACAGGGCACAGCAGACTTCTCCTACCCACCTGCTACTCCCCTCAGCAGTGTATTTCAGTCGGTTCGCCTTTCTGGTTCCCCACTCATCTCTGGTGAATCCTCTCACCCCCACCTCTGGCCTGTACCCCAGTTCTTGTATTCATAAATAAGTAAATCTTTTTTTTTAAAAAATCATATTATAATAGGACACATGAATTAATACAGTTAAAAGGCATTTTATGGAGTCCATAAAATCGTATCACATATATCTGATTATGCAATAACTCAGTTTTTATCAAGTTGTATCCTATTAAGGTCCATTAGATACAATAATGGTGATGCAGTTAGAGTACTAATATAATAACAATAAAGTTTATATCAAAATTCCATCTTTTATATAGCTTAGCAATCTTTTTTAAATAAAAATGCAACATGAATATATATCACATCAACATTTAAAATAGAAAATTAAGTGCTCTTACCTTACTACATCGTCGATATTGTTCCTGTATACGCCTTCAAGTCTTTCTGCAGGAAACCCCATAGCAATAATGTTTGGATAAATATCTGTACATTTAAATTAAGGAAATATCTGAAACATGCAACAATAGTATAAGTACACATTTTAAACATTAGCTGATTATAGAAAGCAAGTTTTATCCTCCATCACAGATACACTTAAAAAATGTTGTCAAGTGTATCTACCTGTAAAAACCCATTAACTGCAAACACAATCTAAAATACAAATGTCAAAATGTTTAAACCTTTCACTTCATGCATAAAATATGCACCTATCATAAAAAGTGACTTCTATATTTACAGTAGTTAGATGTAGATGAAAGAAACTATGATCTCAAGCATAAGTCATAGAAATAAAGTATCTTGAGGATCAAAAAAAGGCTGTATCACTTCTCATTTTTACTATTATAAAAGGCAGATACAAGGTCAAGATGTTAGATTAGGAACTGGTTATGCCTTCTACTAATTGCTGATTAACAACTATCCAACCTCTCTAAACTTCAATTTCCTATTAATATGATGATTAGAACAAGACAACCACTAAGACCTCTTTCAGTCCCTGTTACTTAATACTAAACAGAGGTGGGTAAAAACCTGTTCTTATTTCCTATCAAAGTAATACATACAGAGGTGGGTAAAAACCTGTTCTTATTTCCTATCAAAGTAATAAATATTCAGCATGCCCATTATATTCACTTAAGTTATACACACTAGTTGACATAAAAAAATTTTATGTCAAGAATTTGGCAAATTATAAAAATTCATCATGAAATATGTCACAAAGAAAAAGAAAAATACTGGAGCGTTTCACTTTTAAGAGGTATACAGGAAAACCAAACAAGGGGGGGGAGATAAAACTAGCAAGCAAATTATAAATTGGAGACAAACAAACAACAGGGGAGGGAAAAGCACAAGAAAATATAGTGATAGTTCACAGGTGACCTGGTGGTAGGAATTTTATGTGGATTATACCTGACAGGAAAAATCAAACATTATACAAAAATGAACAACTATACAACTATGTAGGGCCTCCCTGGTGGCACAGTTGCTAAAGTCTAAAGTCTGATGTTTTATATACATATATATATATATATACACACACACATACACATATATACACATACACGTATATTTAATAAAATTCACCAATAAGCTACATTTCTGTTTACTTTGTCCAACATACTAGATACCAATTTTTCTTGAGTTTTGTCAATCTTATCTAATCTCATGATTTTCTGACATAGACCTTTCACTCTTGAGCAAATAAATCCACCTAATGCCTGCATTCATGACCAGGAAGCTCCCACCTGTCTCAACCACTGGGCCCCGAATCAGTGTATTTCAGTAGATTCACCTGTTCTACTCCCCACTCTGTCTCTGGTGAATATTCTCTTTGTTCCCCCCATACCCACCGCACATCTGGCCTAAGCCCCAGTTCCTGTATTCATAAACAAATAAAAATAAATATTTTCCTGGGCCCTCCCTGGTGATGCAACAGGTTAAAGTACAGCACTATGAAGCTATCCACAGTCACTGCAGCACAAGTTTGATCCCCGGCCAGGAAGCTGACCCATATGGCAAGGCAGACCTCTCCTGTTTACTTGCTACTCCCCTCAGCAGTATATTTCAGTAGATCTGCCTGTTCTGCTCCCCATTCTGTCTCTGGTGAATCCTCTCACCACCTACACCTGAGGCCTATACCCCAATTCTTATATTCATAAATATTTTTTTAAAAAAACAAAATATAAATCTTTTCCCAAAATGATTTAAGGTATTTATTTTGATATTGTCATTTAAGAGATTAACTGAGTATGTTAAATTCATCTATAAAATCACTATATTCTAATTAGACCTATCAACAGAGTATCTTAAGGAAGGAAAATGCACAATAGTGTATATAGTAAACTACTTTTTATATGGCTAAATATTTACATTTTTCCAAATTTTGACACCTCTCCCAGCCCTGTACATACATGTGAATATGCACATGCACTGAGAAACTAACAAAAATGATTGCCTCATAAATAAGGAAAGTGGAAGTGAGACCAGCATAGCTGGAGATAGTAGGATTGTTCTGATCTTATAGAAGTTTTCTTTTAAATCTCATCTGTTGAAAACAATCAGAACAAGTAAACCTAATTTCATACCAACCTGGTGACCAGAAGAATTTATTTCGCAGGTATTGGACAATGCAACTTTACTATACTTATTAGTAAGGATGTATTCTAAGTATAAAAAGAATTGCCAAATTTTAAACTTCTGATTGTTTTTAAATATCAGTATTGATAATATAAAACATTTTTCTTTATATTGTAGGGGAGGCAATGAATTATACTAATTAAGATGTATAACTGTTAAAGAGCTACAATTATAAAATTAAGATTTCAAGTAAAAAATATTAATTGAAAATATCAGTATAAACTCATGTTCATAAAAAAAAATCTGTTTTCTAGGTCTTTTCACTGAAATGGTCTTAAAGCATGTCACCTTGGCAGCAAAACTCTTCCAGAACCCAGATTTCAACATACTGAAAGGTATAAACTGCCTTGGAAAAAACAGCCAATGCCAAGTCTAAGGCTGACAAGGTACAAGTTAGCCTGGAATATGTCTGTGGAGACGGTGTTTAGAGAAAACATTAAGGATATTCTAATAACTAAAGCTGTAACAATCTAAGTACCAGGGGAGGAAAAAATAAATGATAGTTAATTATAAAACCAAAAACCCTGAATAAAATATATACAAGTCTCTAAAGAAAAAACTCAAAACATAAGTTAGAAACTAAGGAAACAAAAATATCCTTTTAACTTTTTTTTTTAAAGTGTCCACTTCAAAAATTGTTTACTTTAAAAACTGGTTAAGGGAAAGACTTAAGTGTCATGCTTTACCTGGAGGAACTGGATACCAGGGCAAACAAACAGCCCCAGTTCTTTTTGACAAGTCTTAATAAAATTTTTACTAATTTTTACAATTTTTACAAATGCTATTAAAACCAATAGATGAATGGGTAAAAAGGAACTAAACATACTTACAGAGCTAAAGTAATACCTGACAAAATACTTTCTAATATAAAGAGACAGATAGAATTGAATGATGGGCAAATAAGATTGCCATCACCCAAGTTCAGTAGTCAATCTCAGCATCATCAAGAAAAATCAGTCAGACTTCACAAAATTCAAAGATGATGTGTCAGTTTTTAATCTGACAAAGTATCCTCTATGAAAGCCAAGTTATCCTCCAGAAAATCCAACAAATATATAAAGTTCAATGGAACAAGCTAAATGACATCACAACAAAGTAATCTAGACAAAGATTACTAGACACAGGTCTAAAGAACAAAAAAATCCAGTCTCTTTAATAAAAGAGATGTTTTTAAAAGTCAAGTACAGGGACTCTCCCTGGTGGCGCAACAGATTAAAACACAGCACTATGAAGCTATTCGCAACCACCACAGCACAAGTTCAATCGCCAGACAAGAAGGTGACCCACATGATGCTACAGACCTCTTCGGATTCACTTGCTGCTTCCCTCAGCAGAATATTTCAGTAGATCTGCCTATTCCGCCCCCCAATGTGTCTCTGGTGAATCTTCTCATCCCCTCCTTCCACCTCTGGCCTGTACTCCACTGTTTGTATGCATAAATAAATCTTTTTAAAAATAAAATAAAGTATATTCTCTAAGATGGGGAGGAGAGGAATAGTAGCTATTCTTGATTTCAAAAGGAATTAAAGGTTTTAACAGCCAAGTTCACAGTTAAAAACGCTGTTCTAGGTACTGTTTTTGGCAAACCACTGTAAAACACTTCTTTAATTCAACAAGAGAATTGAATGAGATGAAAACTCATTGAAATGGAAAAATAGTTGTGCTTAACTGATAAAAAGATTTCAAACAAGATCAGAGTATGGTATCATTTGAGCAAAAACTACACACATCCAATATAGACAAAAAGGGTACAAATTAAGGTACTACAAGTAATAATGTCCAAGTAATTAAGTATTTACTATGTGCCAGGAACAATTTTTGTTACTAAGGATGCATGATTCATCCACAACCTGAAAACGTTCCTCTATTAGTAGAGTCCAAAAGAAAACTACCAGGGCTGTCATTTTTAACAGCACAAGAATACCTGGCATCTATTCTTCACAAGTAAGAAAGTAGCCTTTCCTAGAATTTAGCTTTTCTTCAATTATCAAAATGCTTTAGGGTATTATGTCAATTGGTCAGGGGGAAAATGCAAGAGAAAAAGCAGAATCAAGAATACTAACAATGTAACTCCTAAAAGGGAATAATTTTTTTTTTTAATTCTCATTAAGAGTTCAGGCATAAGAAAATGGGAAAGAACAACCAGAAAGCAATGGGACAGCAAATAGCAGTAAGAAATCCATAGTGGCAGTTGCCACCAACCAGGAATTGCTAACCTAAAAAATCATGAAGACCATTTATTCAAAAATATAAACTGAGGCCCTCCCTGGTGGTGCAGGGGGTTAAAGCACTGCACAAAGAAGCTTAAGCCACTTCCGCATGAGTTCGATTCCCGCCTGCCCCCGGAGGAGAC